CCCCCCCCCGAGTGAACGGATGTCAAGCTCAACATTGTTATTGTTGGTTTTATCTGATTAACTTATTTTCCAATTAATGACATTTTAAAATTTGGATATGATTAATTATAACATTTTGTCGAAATTGACTCAGTTTAACTCCACTCATTTGAACATATATCGGCCTCCTCTAGCTTGTATGCAAATTACACATGCATTTTATGTCTCATTATTGTAAAATTTTAAGAAATATGTCAATTGTTTGTCCTTTGTAAAAATGAGTTTGAAAAATTATTTAAATTGAGCTCACTCTCATGCATTCACCGATTACTTGTTAAAATAATTACAAAAAGGGATTTTTGTTCGAACTCTATCATTTCATCTCATAAACTCCACTACACATCATCAACCCCATTATGTCTTCCATAGCTAGCTCTATCATGTGGACTATCGTCTACTCAACATGTTGTTGATTGATATCACTTCCAGGTGCACTCACATTCTTGGGGCCCACGTAAGTGTACGTGTCATATCAGTAATATCAAATTTTTAAATCCGAAATTTTGATCACAAAAAGAATAAGGGTATTAGACTTAGGGAAAAGATCTAGCCTACTAGCTTTCATTCTTAGACTGGAATTGAGTTTTACAAACAACTCCTATTGAATTGCAAACTACTTTAAATGTTAAGCCATACATAATTCCTACTTAACCTATTTGGACAGGTGAATATCAAGTTATAAAGTTACCCTTCTTTGTAATGATTTAAGTGGAGCATAGGAAATGTAAAGTGTTAAATGTAAAGTATTAAATGTAAATGTGTCTAGTGAGAAATTGGAGCAACTTTCTTCTCGGCCCTCTCCCGAGTGCATAAAGAAGATTATTTAAAATGACTTTAGTTCCATAAATCCCATTTTGAAACCATCAAAAACTATTTTCCTAACATTTGCTTCTCCCTACAAAGTACTTTCACCATACCCAATAGTTCAATGTGATTTACCTAGTTGATTCTACCATAGCTCGCTCGAGTCATTATGGATCACAACACATTTTAACGATTTACTTAGCCAGAATAAAAATTAAATGAAGTTCTAAAAGGTAATCATCACATTTAATATTTAGAAACAATTTTAAAAATATTTTACAATCCTATACATCCTACTCAAACATCACAAGGTAAGGTAAGGATAATTACTCAAAAAGCATGAAGAACAAACCACAAAGCTTCATTGGAAAAACAATGGAAATCTACAACTTCATATGTTTAAGGAGATACAACACACTCAAAAACTTATCTCCTTCTCCACTACAAAGCTTTGAAGATGATGTACCCAAAAGAATCATAATCCTTTCTACTATCTTGAAGTCTCTCCTTCTTTTACGACTCAATTCCTCACAAAATGACTAATAAAAAACTATGCTACTCAATCCTTCAACAAGTCTATCATCCCTATCAACTATTTCTCTAAATAAACTATCAAGAATAACTTAAAATAGCATATCATATCTATCACCTATATCTCTAAATATCTCCTTCTCCTTTGGATGTTTGAATAACTCCTCACGTCATGTGCTCGAACTGCTCAAAACTGCTCAAGCAGTTGTTGGTGCCTAGGAGCCCAGAGACTGGCGCATATGTGCTAGTCTCTCTGTCTACAAGTCAAAGCTTTGGTTTGGAGCCTAGGAACCAGTATTGCAGTGTCTAGGAACCCAATGGTTTGTGCCTTGGTGTCAACCTCTCGAGTTAGTAGCATGAGACTAGTGCCTAAGCGCCCAACTGTCTGGCGCTAAGGCACTAGTCACTTGGAAACTCCCTTCCTCCAAGTCTCCTCCATCTTGCTCCAAGTCTCCTTCACATTGCTCCACATCTAACACATGTTATACGTGCAAGAAAAACATGAAAATATCTTACATTCACAAAAAATGTGTAAAACATAAAAGGGATTTAAGTGGTCTTTTCTATACATTAAAATCCCTCAAAACTAAAGATTAATTGTCCTCAAGTAACACTGTAATTTGAACACAAAATTATTTAATTTGAGGGAGTGGTTTCATAAGAACTATTAACAATTATGCTTTGGGAAAGTGATAGTGATGACAATATAATAACCACAGTAAACTAGTCTAGTCCTTGCGAATAAAAAAATTTGTCTCCAACCAAGAAAATGTAATTTCCTATTACTTCTAAAAAGAAACTATCACAAGTTAAATAAGGTACATTAAATGATAATTATATAAAATATAAACACTCCTTTAAAAAATTTTCTAATACTTCGTAAACATAAATAAGCATAGGAATGTATTGAAGCTTCAAATTAAAAAAAAAAATTTAGTGAAACCAGCTTTTGATAAGACTTCTCCTCACTTTATATTTTTTTTAATACTCTTTTTCTTGCTTTAAGATGAATGTTTTCATCCTTACACATACTTTATGAGGATTACTATATCTAGGTCAGCCTTGTAATAGTTTTGAATTATACTGTCATCTCTTTAAATCAAACACTCCACATTCCCTTTCTTTATAATTTTTCAAAAGTTTAGGAAGCATTAGTTGAAAATATAATTTTATGGTGGCTCAATTCTTATTATGTATATATCTTATTGTGCTTAAATTAGCAATTATGTAATACTTTCTAAAAGGTAATAAGCAAATCATTTTTCTAAATGTTGAGTTACAAAATTAGCTTAACACTACACTAGCCTAATTTACTTAGTATTTAACATGTGTAAACTATGTTTTCACTATTTAAAATTGTAATAGATCTATATTTTACACCACATTCTTTAAATTAATTAAAATTTTAATTCAAATTAAATTTACTTAGGACAAGTAAGTTTATGCTTTTAAAATTATTTTTTCTTCCCACTCCTCCCAACATATTCAGCAATTTAAAACATGA